CATGTACACATTATATGTATTATTAAATGTGGCAGCCTTTTTGTGTTAGTGTTTTCATGTTTACTTCCTGCCTGTCCGTCTAAACATCTTGGTTAAACCAGACATTTTTTACTAGTTTGATGTGAATTAATCTTTTTTTTTATTATTTCATAATTAATTCAATTCAGTGTCTACATGTTTTTGTCCTGATATCATAACTTTCCTTTGTTGATCTACATAACAAAGGGGACCATGTTGTCTCCTGACGTCTTCCTGTCTAAGCTGTAAACTAAGGTTCTGTAAACCAGATATTTTTTGTCTTGCTGTTTAACAAACACAGACTCCATAAATCTTGCAATGAACAAATCCACCAGCACAAAAACAACTTGGTGAGTGGACTGGAGTCCTTCAGCTCTGCTGTTCATCATTAACATGTACCTGGAGGTTTATTGAAGAGTCAGAAGTGTTTTGAGCCAGTGCGTCTTCAACTACACTGCACCACAACATTGTTGACATGACTCCTCTGGACCTTCCAGGCTGCCATCTCTGCTGTTGTTGCTGCTCTGGTGTGGATCAGTAAATGTAAATGAGTTTTCATGTACAGCTGTTGGCAGTGGAGGGTCGGTTCCGAACAGAACTGCCTACATTCATTCAACAGTGAAGTGATGATTGTGTTTGTGTGTTATACCAGTGCTGTTGTAACTCCACCACAGGTGTGTGTTTATAGAGTTGTTGTTATGAACCGTCTGTTTAATGTTGTAGTAACCCCCCCCCCCCCCCCCCCCCCCCCACCCCCCCCCCCCAAAAACCTAACCCCCACAAATCTCCCCACCTACCCCCTGGTATCCGTCTGTTTAATGTTGTAGTAACCCCCCCCCACCCCCTCCCCCTACTGTGCCTCAGTAAAACAGGTTCAGTCAGGAATCCTCTCATCTACACAGGCTGTGTCTGTGAGACCAGAAAACTGAGGTGAAGATGCTGCTGGAACTGTTTGTCTGATACCCAGAGTTAAAAAAAAAAAGTTAACTTTGTTGAAACTTAATACAATAGTAGTATTACTTTATAAAACCAGCTGACTCACTCTTAGCTGTGTTCAGTTCTTGTTTATAGTCTATGATCATAATAATTTTTTTAACTTGAGGGATCAGAAACTGCGAAGAAGAGGGGGAGGAAGTAAAGCTGGTGCTTTTCATCAAACCTGCACGTTTAGTCACAGTGGTGTGTTTTACTAAACATGTGACCTATGAATATTCATGCCACCATTATTCATATTTTACTAATTCAAGACTGTTAATTAAACATTTATGGATATTCCTTAAAATCACCCTCAGTCACTTTTCTGTCATCATTCACCTCCCCCATCTGAAAACACGCACAGATATTGGTGCAAACACACACTGAAAGTGAACGCTCCCCTCTAGCGCGTCATTACAGCAGGACTGTGGCAGATGGCTCCTGCTTCATGTTGTAGCACGCTGTTATGAACTCAGGGGAATAAAGTCTCCAGGGACCACAGCGTGCTAAGCTAAGTCAGCACTGGTGCTCAGAGCTGGGGGGACAGGGAGGCACGTGCCCGTGTGTGTGTCACTTTTGTGTTCTTATTTTCAGTAATGAGTGCAGAGTCCCAGGAGACTGCAGGTCTTTATTATTATTAGTCATCAGCTGGAGGAGTGGTGATTAGCTGGGTTCTGTCCTATCACTGTGGTCATCAGCAGCTCCTCTTCTCCGTCCAGGGTTCTGAACTTAGTGCTGATAAGAACTGAGTCTGCCCCGTTGTCCTGACTGTAGTCTGACTGGACCTGGCCTGACTTACCCTAACCCTGGCACATCATGTTGTATTAGAGTCTTTAGCTGAGAAGTCCAGTCTGTTGGCTGTAGTTGTCCACATGTTCGTCCCACATCTGGATCATTGTCTTCTAAATTCATATAGATGACGTGACAGATTTATAGCTCGGCTTGTTTGATGAATACATCGGTTTCTGAAAGTTTGGTTTGGTTCTGTTTCAGATGCTCCTGTTGTTCAGCAGCTCAGAAGAACCTTCAAATACTTCAAGGACTACAGACAGGTGAGGGACATAAAAGTGAAATACTGAGAGAGAGTTTTCTTTTTTCTGTCATGAAAATGTGGTTAACATTTGACTTTAAAACATCAACTGTCTGACGATCATCATGCTGCTGCAGAGGCCTTTATTAGACCAGAGCGTAATAGTTTAAAAGTTTTTAAAAGGATTGATACACATCTGAAATGTTGACTTAAACAAAAGATGTATTTTTTAGGTTTCTTTTAAACAAAAATTAATTATATTAATTATAAATAAATAGTGTGAGAACATTCTGACCAAGAGACCAGAGGTCAAACCAGTGGTGTGAGTCAGTTGATTGTCTGTTCTGTGGACGTGCACTCTGGTGCAGCCCGAGTGGAGCACTCCATCGTTTATATTCAGACCAGGTCTACATGATGTGTGAAGTTGAAAACACTGCTGAATCACTTGTGGGGACTCAGGGGTCATTTTGATCTTTTCAACAGAAACTGAGTGCTGTTTAGATCAGTAAACCATGTGACTCTGGTTTGCACCCTGTCCTTGTTTTAACTCAGTTCCTAGAAGGAACACTCCTCGCACACAACAGTTGAGATGAATGAAGAGGATTTTCCTCAGCGATGAATGTAGAAACTACTCTTCTGGTTTCAGTATCTGTGTTTCAAATTGGTCACTTCCCCATTTTCTGGACATTGAAAACCCTTAAGTGCTGATTTTTATCTTGATGTTTGCACGAAGTGTTGAGCAGGAGTGTTCCCCATGTCTGGAAGCCGGGTTTTCCATAATGATGACAGAACATGGATCATTTCCTCTGAACTCGGCTTCCTGTTTTGTCCCTGGAATGTAAAATGTGGACTGTTGATTCTGTTTGTGTTTGTGTGTGACTCATATCCAGATGATCATTGAACCTACCAGTCCTAAACTCCTGCCTGACCCTCTGAAGGAGCCGTACTACCAACCTCCCTACACTCTGGTGCTGGAGCTGACCGACGTTCTGTTACACCCTGAGTGGTCGGTACGTCTGCCCACACTACTGTTCACACCTGCTGTGATAGACGTGAACCAGGATGTTGAAGGAAGTCCCCTTAGAGTTAAACTTAACTTTTCAGTTCTTCAGAATGAAACAAGAGTTAATCACTCAAATCATGGCCTTAGTCAGACACAGCTGCCTACTGTGTCAACTCAGAAAATATAGAAAGAACGAAAGAACTTGAATTCAGTCAGTTGTCACATAGATTAGCAATCTGATCTAGTCACACAGGAATAAAAAATACAACAGGTAGAGCTATAAGTGGGCCGGGGGACAAGATGGGCTGAATGGTTTATGGGACAGGTGGAAGAGTCAGAGGAGTGTCCCTACACCTGTCCACTTGTTGACTCTTCACCTTAAGTGTGTGTGCACAGGCACACACAGACACCGTCCTCTTACCTGGCAGGTGTGCAGCAGCTGTAACTAGACACCTGCTCCACCTTCTCTTTTGTCCAAACCTGTAAAAACACATCAACTTCTTTTCTCTTACATTTACTGCACATGATTACGAAGTTCAGTTAACGTGGGTGGGTTTTATTGATTGACAGCAGATCACACCTGTGTGTGTATGTGTGTGTGTGTGTGTGTGCATGCATGCATGTTAACTCCAGCAGCGCAGAATGACATTCTGACCTCAGTCTGAGGTCAGAATGTCACTCCTCTTATCAGGTAGACTCTGGGGCTGAAACAGATGAATGACTGTGATCTGACATTTCAGTACAGTTAGTTTAAAGTCAAGCAATCATTTCTAACTTCATTTGATTGGTCTTTTTCTCTTCCTAGTTGTCTACAGGCTGGAGATTTAAAAAACGTCCTGGTATTGACTACCTGTTCCAGCAGTTGGCGCCGCTTTATGAGATTGTCATCTTCACTGCAGAGACAGGCATGGTGAGACACACACACACACACACACACACACTTCAGCTGTGAGCAGTCTTGAAATAGGTGGTGTGTTTATCAGTAGACAAATCCTCAGAGACTCCAGTGTCATGTTGATGTGAACGGTCGTCAGTCTCATCAGTCTGTGTCTGACTGTTTACAGTCGTCTCAGCTCTGTAAACAGACTCATTCAGACTATTAACATGTAAACAGGCTGACTGTTGTTGTTATTGGAGGTGTCATTTAAATAAGTCTGATAAATGTGTGTGTTTGCTTTGTCTCTCAGACAGCCTACCCTCTGATCGACAGCATCGACCCTCAGGGCTTCGTCATGTATCGTCTCTTCAGAGATGCTACACGTTACATGGAGGGCCATCATGTGAAGGTACAGTAACAGCCTTCGCCTCTGGGACCGGGCTAGTTAACCTGACACTGGTCACTAATGTTCACACAGTGGAGAAGCTCGCTAGCTAGCCTTACACCGACAAGGTCAGCAGTTCAATCCTAAGCTCTAAACCTGTTCTCACTGTATGGTTGTGGATGTTCTCCAGGTTCTCCAGTTTCCCCCACAGTCCAAAAACATACAGATTGGAAATTAGGATAATGTTCACACTAACATGTTTGCCATATGTGTGAATAAATTAATGAACTTGTCACCAAACTCTCTCACTTGCACCTCTGCTCTTAAGAGTTTTCCTCCATCATCCTCTGTCCATCCTTGTGACCCTCCTCCCTTCCCTTCCCCCCACCTCCTCCTCCTCCTCCTGCTGCTCCTTCTGTCTCCCTCCAACCGTCATCTTTGTGTTTTATGGAGGAAGGAGCTGCTTAACCTACTTCCAGGAGAGCAGACATGTACATAACCCAGGGTGAGGTCACAGACACTGGACCGTTGTTTAACTCTGTTCTATCTCTGTGTCTGCTGACAGAGTTAGAACAGAGTTAGAACAGAGTTAGAACACTGTTAGAACAGAGTTAGAACAGAGTTAGAACACTGTTAGAACAGAGTTAGAACAGAGTTAGAACAGAGTTAGAACAGAGTTAGAACAGAGTTAGAACAGAGTTAGAACAGAGTTAGAACAGAGTTAGAACAGAGTTAGAACAGAGTTAGAACAGAGTTAGTTAGAACA